TGCCATGCTCCCTGCCATGATGATAATGGACTAAATCTCTGAAACTGTAAACCAGCCCCAACGAAATGTTTTCCTTTATAAGAGTTGCCGTGGTCATGGTGTCTCTTCACAGCAATAGATCACTGACTAAGACACCCGTAGATAGATTCCTTGCAATCACACTATCCATACAGAGTTGTGAATCTTCCTTCCCAATCTGATGGTTTTTGTTTCTTTTTCTTGACTTCTGGCTCTGGCTCGAACCTTGAGTACAGTGTCAAGGATGAGCTAGTATTTCTTTCTGTGGTGGGAAGCTTTGCACATCTCATGATTGAGTACAATGTTGTGATCTCTATCTTCAAAAATACCTTTTATCACATTGAGGATACTTCCTTTTATTCCTAATTTTCTGAGTTTTTAATCATGAAAGGTCATATCATTTGAAATGATCATGTTTTTCTTTGTTCTTTAGTTCTATTAATATGATAGATTATATAGATTTATTGTCTTATGTAACTGAGATGCCACTCTCCTGACCATAGTCAATAATTCTATTTATAGCCTACTTAATTTTATGTGCTGGTATTTTTTTTAAATGACTTTCGTGTCTATCTTAGAAGAGACAGTGGCTTGTAATTTTGTTCTCTTTAAATGCATGGTAAGATTCACTGATGTAGCCATGTGGTCCAAGATGTTTATTGGGAAGTTTCTGACTATCAATTCAATCTCTTATTACAGGTCAGTTGAGAGTTTACTTCTTCCCAATTCAGTCAAAAGTACTGCTATAGTTTGGATGTTGAGTGTTTCCAAAGGCTTGATCACCAGTGTGGCGCTTTGGGGAGGTAGTGGAACCTTTTAGAGGTAGAGTTAAATGGTGAGTCTTTAGGTCAGAAGCCTGTAAAGGGGATGATGGGACCCTGGCCTCCTCTTTTCTCTCTTTTGCTTCATGACCATGGGGAAAGTGGCTTTGCTTTGTCATGCACCCCTGCCATGATGTGCTTGCTGCCTGTGCCTACCACAGGTCTAGCACAGGCCCACAGCCTAGGTCCACAGCACAGGCCCACAGCACAGGTCCACAGCACAGGCCCACAGCCTAGGTCCACAGCACAGGCCCACAGCACAGGTTCAGAGCACAGGCCCATTGCACAGGCCCATTGCACAGGTCCATTGCACAGGTCCACAGCACGGGTGCACCCTACCACAGGCTGTGGAATGTTCAAAACTGTGGGCTCAGATCAACCTTTTCTCTTTCATCCTTATATTTTGTGGATATCTGTGCTCAGTGCTCTCTCCTGTGTAACCACTGAAAGATTGACAGCAGTGTGGTCATTTCCTTTTTAGTGGGGGTGAGTGCAAGCCAGGAGGACATCAGATGTCCTGCTTTGTCACGCTCCTTATTCCTTAAACAAGGTCTCTCACTGACCCTGGAGCTAGGCTGGGTGCCAGCAAGCTCTGGTGTGTCTGTCTCCCTCAGAAACAGTGCTGGGGTTACAGAGATGCAGCCATGCCCAGCTTTGCATGGGGTTGGGGGTGGGGGTGGGGGTGGGGGGTGGGGGGTGGGGGGAGTGTTCAAATGCAGGTCCTCATGCGTGGTCAGCAAGTGCTTTTACTCACTAACCCATCTTCCCAGCCCCTAATGTGCTCATTTTTATTTTGGATATTTCTACTTTTATCTGGTCAGTTTAGATCTTTGTTAGTTTTGTTGATCTTGTTAAAGAGTTCAGCGCTCGATTTTCTGTTGTTTTATATTCTGTTGCCACTCTTTGCTCTACTCTACTATTGTTTCTTTTTATTTTTGGGTTGAGCTGGGTCTTCTTTTTCTAGTTAAAAATACAGATTTTCATTAACACTTTGAGAATTCCATACAATGTATTTTGATCATATTCACTCACCACTTCAGCAACGAGGGGGCCTGGAGCAAATAGGACGGTGCAAGGGGCTGGGACTGGAACTCAGCTGACAGTGCTTTCCTAGCATGAGTGCGCAGGCCTGGGTTCAGCCCCTTGAACACCCCTGCAATCCCAGCACACAGGAAGTAGTGGCATGAAGTCAGAAGCTCAAGGTCAATCATTCCCAGCTAACTATTGAATTTGAGGCCAGCCTGAGTTACATAAGATCTTATCTTTAAAAAACAAACAAACAAACAAAACAACCAGTAAAGAAAATTGAGTTTACATAGTATGGAACGTTGCAAGATGGATACCAAAAGCAAAACAAACAAAAGTCAGCAGTAACTATTTTGTGTGCAGTCAAAGTTAAAGACCTAATGGTAATGCAATAGCTCGAGCCAGAGCCAAGCTCAGGGTCACCACTGACACCATCATGAAATGGACTTTAAAATGATTGTCTGTCATTAAATATTGAAGGTCTGTTGCCAGGTGGGAACTCACACCTTTAATCTCAGCACTTGGGAGATTGGGTAAGGTGATCTGAGGTTGAGGCCAGTCTGGGCTACATAATAGACTCAGTT